CTTGCCACCTCATCAGTGCCTATCAATGCTGCCTCATCAACGCACATCAGTGAAGAAGAAAAATTACCTGTTTGCAAAATTGTAGATTAGAAACAAAGAAAAAACTTTTTTTTTCAAATTGTTTTCTCTTTTTGTTTATAGTTCAAAAAATAAAACACCAAGTGGCAATTAAATATCACCAAAAGAAAGCTCTATTTGTGTGAAAAAAAGTATAAAAATTTCATAGGGGTGCAATGTTGCATGACTGCGCAAGTGTGAGAACGCTGAAAATTGGCCTGGGCGCGAAGGGGGTATAAGTGCCCAGTAGGCAAATGGTTAATCTTGATACTAGCAAATGAATGATGTGGCACTGGTGTGAAGAAAGATGAGTATAGCTGCTAGGGGAATAGGGAGAGGGGTATAGAGCTAAGTGATCTGTTTACTTGGCCCTGCATGGCACCTTTCCTTTCCAGTACACACTATTTCAGATAGTAGGTTATTTTTTTGAGAGAATCATCATGCTACAAGATTGACATTCTTCTTTAGAAATTATTTTGGGAGTCTGGTTTATGAGACTCCCAGCTTCGAAAACCAAATTGCTGATTGGTTGAACCAGCCTTTCTCCACCTTTTTGACACGGGGGAACCCTTAAAATAACTTTCTGGTCTCTGGGAACCCCTGCAAAAAGTATCTACAGCTCACTGTGCATTAGAGTGATGGTCAGTGTGAAGAATGTTCCTCAACTTTGTGGGCAGTCAGAAAATCCCCCTTAACCACTTAACCAGAGTCCAGAGATGGGGAACAAAAATGGTGAAAGGTCTGAGGGATGAAACATATGAAGAGCGACTTCAGGAAGTTTAACCTCCTTCATGACCCAAGCATTTTTTTTGCTATTTAGCACTGCACTACTTTAACTGACCATTGCTCAGTCATGCAACACTGTGCTCAAATTACATTGTTATTTTTTTCACACAAATAGAGCTTTCTTTTGGTGGTATTTAACCACTTGCCTACCAGGCACTTATACCCCCTTCCTTACCAGGCCAATTTTCAGCTTTCAGCGCTGCCGCACTTTGATTGACAATTGCGCGGTCATGCAACATTATACCCATATGAAATTTTGATCATTTTTTTCTCACAAATAGAGCTTTCTTTTGGTGGTATTTAATCGCCACTGGGCGCTTTACTTTTTGCGCTATAAATTAAAAAAAGTGCAAAAAATTTGAAAAAAAAAAAAAAGTTTTTTTGTTTCTTTTATAAAATTTTTCAAACAGGTATTTTTTCTCCTTCACTGATTTGCGTTGATGAGGCGGCACTGATGGGCACTGATAGGCGGCACTGATGGGCAGCACTAAAGGGCACTGATAGGCAGTACTAATGAGGTGGCACGGATAGGCGGCACTGATAGACAGCACTAATTAGGGGTCACGGATAGGCGGCACTGATATGCAGCACTGATAGGCGGCACTGATAGGTGACACTGATGATGGGCACTGATAGACGGCACTGACTGGCATCACTTCTGGGCACTGACTCACCCTGGGCACTGACTGGTGGCACTGACTGGCAGCACTGCTGGGCTGCACTGGTGGGTGGCTCTGGTGGGCAGCACTGGTGGGTGGGCACAGGTGGGTGGCACTGGTGGGCACAGGTGGGTGGCACTGGTGGGCACAGGTGGGTGGGCACAGGTGGGTGGCACTGCTGGGCACATGTAGGTGGCACTTCTGGGCACAGGTAGGTGGCACTGCAGAGTGGCACAGGTGGGTGCACTGCTGGGCACAGGTGGGGGCACTGCTGGGCACAGGTGGGGGCACTGCTGGGAACGGGTGGGCGGGGCTAGTGGGCGCACTGCTGGGCGGAACTTGCGGGTGTCACTGCTGGGCACCGATCATCAGGGCACAGATCATCAGTGCCCTGATGATCGGTGCCGATCCCCGCTCTGACAACTGCCGGTTCTCGGCAGTACTTTCCTCACGATCTGACAGCGTGAGGAAAGTGCAGCCGAGAACCGGCACTTGCATTTCCCTGTGATCAGCGTGTCATTGGACACCGCTGATCACGTGGTAAAAGGCCGGTGGGATCGGCCTTTCACCACATCACGTGATCAGCTGTGTCCGTAGGACACAGCGATCACGGAGATCGCCGGGTGCGCGCCCCCTGGGGCATGCAGGAGAGCGCGTTCTGGGAGGACGTCATATGACGTCCACTCAGAACTGGCCGGCCGCGGTGAAGCCGTCATTCGGCTATGCGCGCGGTCGGCAAGAGGTTAATCAGCACTGGGTTTTTTTGACATTTTTTATCATATAAACAATAAAGACTGAAAATAAAAAAAAACAAACAATATTTTTTTCTGTTATAAAACATATCCAATAAAAAAAGTAAAAAAAAAACCAAACAATAAATTTAGGGGCGTAAATTGACGGTGCTATATAAGTACCTGAAATATATAAAATAAATGTCTTTGGTAAAATCAAAAATCCCAATAAGTGTATATTTATTGGTTTGTGTGAAGGGTATAGCATGTACAAACTATGGTATATATACTGGAATTAACACAGCTATGATGCCATACTGGTAATGATAGTGTCAGGGACTCATAGTGGGACTGTGATGGCGTGGTGAGCAATCTGGTGCTAGCAGACACTGACTGGGAGGGACACTGACATCAATAGTGACACTAATACAGTGATCAGGGCCAATATTGTACACTGTCACTGTACTGATGATACTAGCTGGGGAGGTGTTAACATCAAGGGGAGATCAAGGGGTTAACTGTGTGCCTAACAAGCATAATACGTGCTGCGTTTACTAATAGATGTGGCTATTTATTCTCCCTGCTTTGCAAAGAGAAAAAACAGCCACATCGTTGCTCAGTTTACAGAGCCCTGTGTTGTTCGTAAATACGGGGCTCTGTTCTGTGATTTGCTTAGTTATTAAAAAATATCATTAATGTCAGGTACAAACTTATAATTGCTCAAGGAACTCCTAGCAACCTCTAGAGAAACCCTAGGGTTCTAATGAACTCTGGTTGAGAAAGGCTGGGTTAAACTGTTTAGCCATCAGAAAGAATGCTGAAGGTTTAGTTGATACCCAGGTTCTATAAAGATGAATATAGGGATATTTTATACATAGATACATTGGTCCAGCACCAAGCAATGAAACTGTGCATATGCCATACCTGGCCGACGCCTCTGAAATCTGGAAATCAGAAAGTAAGACACCACTTCTCTACTCCTCTAGCTTCTGGGTCTCATGCCGAGCAGCTGCCTTGCTGCATTCTGAACACAGGAGGTCGCCGCTCAGCAGGGGCGCCATTCAGAGAATGTTTTGCATTTTCTGAATGAATGAAAAATGTTCTCTGATTGAATGAGATGGAGAGGCAGGGCAGTGACGTCAATGCAAAGCATTCTCTCAAGTGTTAGAAACATATGGCCACATTTATATCTACTTCTGTGTATGCTTCAGTGACCTTAAAAAAAAAAACAAAAATAACAATTTAGTGACTCTGGGGTCTATTTCACAAAGCAAAATGCCAGTGACAGAAGAGTAAGAAGGTTCAGATGGTAACTGCCTTCATCTGACTCTCAGGCCACATATCCCAGCAGCAAAGATCCACCTACAGTATTTACCTTGACTGACATCCATTCAGCTTCTATCTTTGGAATTCTGCTGGTGTAACAGATTTCACTTGATGGACAACCAGTCAAAGTAGTTCTAATCTCTGCTTAAAGATCAAAAAAGAACAATGTTAATTAAATTAAATATTTTATTATTCTGTAGCCTTCGTATATCTGTAGAACTGTAAGATACACACACCAATATCAGAACCTTTTAATTTGTCTATATACATATGACAGTACAGTTTTGAACAGTAGAATAAATCAAGCTGAAGACACATTCAGCAGAAAATTTATCAAAGGGATTTAGAAAAAAGTCCCCCTGCATCCAGGGTAGTAGGCCATATTCCCAAAGCCATAAGTGTACAGGTCCATGGTCAAGGTCTGTTTCCACACATGAACTGAGCAGTCTTTTATATTCCAAGCAGAACCCTTGTTATCATTGGATCTAGACTTCATTTCCTTTGAGACACCACCCACAATCTCTCTCCTTCCACCATGCTGCAGTCTCTTAGTGTATATACAGCTCCTTAAAGGACAGCAGAGCAACCATTTTCCACATATGTCACATCCTGATCATAGGCATTATATTGTACAGGTGAATATTATCTGGGAGGACAGGAAAATAAAAAATCCATCTTGAAGTAAACCTCTGCTTTGCAAAAGAACAGGTTTACACCCCACACTGCTTATACATCCCTTTACTCCCCTAGGAGGGGATGGACATTTAAGTGGACTTGTCACTTCTAGTTTTGTATAAACACCAGAAGTGCGTATGTTAGAATATGTTTTTTTTCTTTTAGTTTAGAGTAGCTACAGTTTCAGGCAAACAGTTGGCATACATTTTGTGTGCAGTATTACCTGCCAAAGGATTTATGATTTTGTTCTTAAAGTGGAACTTCACTCTCCCAGTAAACACTGACTATTTTTAATTCTCATCAAGCTAGCACTAGTAAATATTTTTACTTGGACCCAATATTATCATTCCAAAGATCTCATAACTGCAAGAGAATGGTGCTGAATGCTGCACTACCACTACACACAGCTATGATCTACATAGCATTTCCAATATAAAATGTGAACAGCTCGGCACTGCACCCACAGATGTCTAAATCATTAACACAGGCTGACATCTATTTCATTTAAATACAGCATGACAATGCCCAAACAGAACAATATAAAGAGGTCAGCTGTGGCCCCGAGATTTGGTCAGTTATGACAAAGCTTACAATAAACAAATATAATAACACATTGCAGATATCCAGCACTCAAGCCTCCAAATTACAGGAAATAAGCCATCAGTGCCATGCAATCACTTCAGCTCGGACGAAGGCAGAAATTACAGCAGTATGTTATATTTGAGTGCTCTTGGGACTCGGTTAATAACCAGCCTTCCATCATAACTTAAAGAAGCAAAGAGCCAGGGGTCTGCAGAGGACCATTCCACGGCATACACGCTGTCTTCGTGTGTTCTTCATAGGTAGCTATTATACTGTCCTGGAGTGGCTCTTTTGTTCTAGGAGGGAAACAAAAAAATGCAATTAGCCAGGGAGGAAAAAAATATGATGGCAAGTATTTATCCCACACAATAATTATAAGCCTACAACAAGAATGACAGACAGGAACAGGCACTGGCGGGATGTCCTGAGGTCACAGATCATTTTAAAATCTCTATTGTCTTGTGTTCATGTCAGGCATTAATAATATGTCTTTGTCACTTTAAACTGTTCACTACCTATAGAATGAGTATTATCTCTGCTTGTTGAGAGAAAATAATCCACAATGCTACCAATGGCTTTTAAAGGGTCACTCCACTAATATTTATCTTCTGGGCTAGAATGGCTCACTGGTGTCTTGTATCCTCTCTGCTGGTCCAATCTAGCCTCTAAAGTCTCACTTCCACAGTGTAAAATTAAGGAAACCCTCTCATCATGGCCACAACAAATGGGAAGAACTCAGGCATGGAGGACTCAATGCTGAGACCCTATATAATAATCCAGATGATAACACAGTCTTTAAAGGAAACGTATAATAGCTTTTAGGTAAATTTAGTCAAATTAAATACATGACACTCATGCATGACATTTACAAACCATGCTCAACACTGCTTACGTGTGCTGCAGAGTTTGTAATTTAATTTCCTTGCTCTTAAAGAATATGTAAACCCAACATTTCCTTATCCTGATATTTGCCTGCTGTACCATGTACTTGTATGAAAAATGTTCCTGTTCTCTTTGTATTGCTTCCTTTGTGTGAAATCCTTGGTGTTCTGGCCAGTCCCTCTGCATTCCCTATCATAAATTGACTATACTATGCATGAGAACAGTGTGGTCAGTTATCTAGCTGTGCTGGGAAATCAGCTTGCTCTCCTCCAATGATCAGGCTTATTGTCACATGCCCCCCTACCTGCACAGCCATTCATTGGGAAGTTCAGTGTGCTGCTCTTTTTCCTCCCCCAGCTCTAATGCAGCTGAAAACAGAGGATATATAATCAATTATGAAAAAAAGATAAAACATGTATTTTTAATGTGTTTTATAACTATACACAAAAAATTTGCCTTTCATTTCTATTTTAAATTGAATGGGTTGTTTTACAAAGTGGGGTTTTACATATACTTTAAAGAGGCAGTGGACTTACTCCACTCAGGGCAGAGTGATGGTGCCTCCTGATAATCCAGCCCCCAGCAAGGCATACGTAGTGATCCATGCTACTTTGCTGCCTCCCAATTTTTTGGAGCCCATACTCTGATGCTCTAACACTGGAGCTTTTCAGTATAGGAGAGCACATGACATCCTCCATGTGATAGTGCTTTAGCCTGTATGGCTAATCACCAGGCCCAAAACACTGTCACATGGGCAGGGGAGGTGCATTGCAAACAGCATCCTTGCTGGGATGAGGGACTGTTAGGAGGCACACTGCATCATTTTGGGGTGTGTGTCATCTACAACACAGCAATAACATATTAATAATAACAGGCACCTGTACTATATTAGAGCACAGCTATAGAAAACTTGTAGGCTGTCGACTGTCAAATATGAAGCATTTATACACAGTGTATGGAAAAAGGTTTAAAAAAACCCAATTCACATTTGCTACAATGTGCACCTGTCCATTTGCAGTAGGCATACAGAAGACATAAAGGTGCAAAGCAGGGGTTTAGGTAAAGAAGATGCAATGTTTTTTTTTTCTTTTTTAGCTAACCCTCACCCACCTATCTTATTAAGTGCCACCGACTATACTAGTAAAAGTAGAAATCCAAACAAAACCACACTAAAAAAAAAAGTTTTGAACTAAGCAGGAGAAGATGATAACCTCTGTTCGATTTTCGGTGCTTTGTGGAAGTTTCCCCTAGCTTCCTACCCCTAGAGTTCCATTTTTTTGGCATTAAGTATCCCATTCCAAAAATGGGCTTTTGTTTTTTTTGCTGGCAATGGGGAGATTTTTGCTCACTTCCTGTCCTCGTGTTCCCAATCCTAACTTACTCTAGTCAAAACTAGAAATAAACATTTAGCTACTTTGGGCGGTGTTGGAAGCCCCGCTGCAAGGGTGATTTTTTTCATTTTCATAGAGTTGGGCTTTAACCTTCTTGTCTTATAGATCTGTGCTTATCCCAAGCATGTTTAAACTCACAGAGGGCCCATTTTACATCCTTGTGTTGGGTTGGCATAATGTGGTGCCATTTATTTGTATAGCACCCCAGCGCACCTTGCTGACAGATGTGCGTTGCAGTGCAGCCCAAGCGTGGCAACGCACTAACATGCACTGCCATAGAATGTGCATGCCCCATTTTTAGTGTGCAATTGTATTGGGCTGCTTTATTACAATATATGTCAATCAGTGACACAATGCACCTTAAATATTTAAATGGGCCATGACAGTTGACTGACTTAGTACCTCTGTTTAATTCTGTTCCAAGCATCAACTACTGTTTAGGTAAAATAACCTAATCTAAGGTTAGTTTTGAAATTTTCTCCTGTTAGTCTGAAAATTCAAAACTAACCTCAGATAACCTGTGAAATAAACAAAAATTCTATTTAGATTTGAGAAACTGCTGGAATTTTACAAGAATTGTCACAGAATGAAAAGTGTTCCTTGTGCCAGCTGTTGCTGAAATACATCATCTTATGTAGTTCATGTGAGGTAATATGTCTGTGCAGCCATCTTGTTTTAGCCAGAAGTATCAAAGAGGGTTTTATGTCCGAGTATAACCTAAGTAAAAATGGAATAGAAATACATTTATAAGTTGCTATAGCTGTATGTTACGTGAAATGACCTGCTTTGCCCTGTTCTATGTGCCAGCTGTGCTCACAACTCCATCTGCCAAGCAGCTGCAAGTCATCTGAAGTAAACTGGATGAGCGGCCATTTTGTCACAGACAAAGCAGTGAGGGCTGTATCTGTGTATACCAAGCAAACATTAACTAAAAATGGAAATAAATTTAGAAAATGCTACCACTACTCCTATTTTAGCTTTTAGTATTATGGCTAAATGCACTTGTTTAATACAGTGTGAAATTGTTTCAGATGCTTTGTCTGTCATTCCTTCCTTTGCAAACATTTGTAAAACATTTTCGTTATCAGGTTTTATAGTAGCTTAGAGCTGTTCTGATATTAAAACCCTGTGAAATGGGCATGTCTCTACACACGCGGTGTCTTACGCTTCTACCTAAATCTCCGCTTCTCTTGACATTAGCAGAGATTGAATCTTTTCAAAGAAGGCTTTATCAAAGCCCTTATATGTCAGGATTTACCTCACATCGGAAGCCACATTTATTCGGCTTTAGATCAAATGCTGCCATTGCTCATGCTGCTCATTCGTCTTTCATTTGAAAAATTGTAAATATAAAAGTGAGACCCTCTGCCATACTTTAGCAAATTTGGAAATGATCCTTATGATGAATGTTGTTATGGTTTATTTCTCCTAATGGATACATACATGATTAGGCCTCTCCCAGGTTCTGGAGGTCTAGCCCCGATAATGTTATGAGACTCAACTCTGACTCTACTGTTTTGAGGAACCAACACTGCAGACAAATAACAGGCCTGAGAACTGAAATCAACCTGCAGTTCCAGCTGGCCACCACTTATTCAACCACTAATGGTAGGCCATGGCATGGTATGCTGCAGCAGTAGTAAGCTTACTGGCTGCTATTACTTTAATACTAACCACAGATATAACAATTTCAGTTTCAATCAGCCTTCAAAAAACAGAAAAAAAAATGAATACATTTCACTACAAAAATATTTCTAGACACCAAGGCCCTAACTATATGTGATGTGGCCCAATAGCAAGACCATTAATGTTAACCTTGTTTCTCCAGCCACCATCTTAAAAGCAATTCTTCTAGTGATACGCATTACTTTTTATTTTTGTAGAAACTTTAGAGTTAGAGAAATGTATCCAAATGTATTTATTACATGCTATTGCTTTTTGCATAAGCCATTGTGTAGCAAGGTAGCTCTGGGTTCCCTGAGCTTCTGAGCTGCATAGGAGTTGGTCTACATAACTATTAATGCCCTTTGAAAGATGGTTGTAGGTTGCTGGTTTCTTGGTGTCTTTGTTATTAAAAGCTTGTTCAAAGAGGTTGAAATTGTCCTAAATTGCAATATTGGTGGCCAGCTTTAGAAGCAGAAAGCAATACTACAAGCTAAATTTCTAGGTAGTCTAGTCAGCATCTCATATGTGAAAGAGGAACAGAAGATTTGGGCAAGCTATGTGACTGGTGTAATGAAAATTTCATTGAAATGAAGTTTTGGGGGGATGCTTCATATAACATTAGTGTACAATGGCAAGTTCTTGACGTTTTACAGCAGAAAAATACAAAGAAACAAAGGAAAAATAATGGTAAGACATGGAGAAATTACCATTTTTCTTGTACACTGATTTTATAAGAAGCATTTCCCCTTAAACTTAATTTGGGCTTCAAAGGCAGTCAAATAGCTTGCCCAGAATTTCTTCTTCTCCAGATCTCTTCCTAGGCCCAGAAGTACAGGGAACTCACACAGCTGCTTGGCTACACAATGGTTTATCCTGCATAGAAGCAACAGTCTCACTGCCACATGGGGTGCCATAGGGGTCGCAGCTGGAACCCAGCAATAAGCAAAGCTCGTGCTGATTGCACAGCCCTAGCTCTAACTGAGGAATGTTAAAGGAATGTCAGACCATTGCAGAGAGACCAATGCTTCCATGCAGAGAGCTCTTGTCCTTCTCTGCAGCATAGTACAGAACACAGAATAGCCTACTCTTCCAGGGGTTGCTGAAAATTGGTCTGAGAGACCCCCTCTGGACAACAGTATAAGTCTATGAAAGGAGCTTGTTACTCACCCATGTCAGCATAGAGCACTAGCATAAGAGTGCAGGAAGTGCATTTCCAATAAGAGTACACTGTTTTTTTCCCCACAGTACAGCACAGGACTACAGACAGAAGAAGGTGAGAGAACTCAATTGGGCTGGAAATTCATGACATACTGGGCCAAACCATGTCAAGATTTGCAGCATTTATTCCTGCTACTTACCTAAAGCAATGACCACAAAAACCTGCTACACCCTTAGGCTGTTTAGTCATTGCTTCTACTGCCAGACAGTGCTAGTGTGTGTGACTTACTTTTCTTCATGCTGACTATCCTCTTGATCACTCAAATCTTCATCATCAACAACAAGATGTCCAAATGGCTCAGATGAAATGGAGACCATGTTTGACAGGATTACCCTGCTGTCACTGCTGCCTGTTAGGACCAGCTGGTCATGGGAGTGATTGTATCTGACGCTCCAAACCCTGGAAGCAAAATTAGAATTAAAACAATCTTCTGCTAAAACGCACCTGACACCAGTACATAAAAGAGGCTATTTTTTTTTTTAACAGCAGCAAATGTGTTTGTTTCTAATAAATAAATTTTTTTTTGAGTCGACCTGTAACAAGTGCAAGATAGAAAATCTATTTTAAAAATCATGAAAAGGGGTTCGTTTTGCAATATTTAATTTCTCTGTAGTTTTTGTTCTATACTAAACCACGTTTATCTATATTTCTAAAAGTGTGTTCCTTTGTTATTTTTTGTAATTTTTTTTTCTTTTTGTGTTTTTTTTAAGTGGACCTGTCATTTAAAAAGAGACAGATGAGCATATTTATCTACAAAAAAGGATTCTCTTCGAAGCTTTTCATTTTAAACCATACTTTTTTATTTATGCTGAACTATTGTACTTTAATAATCTGTCAAACAGAAATAGAGTGGCAAAACGCAAAGACAAAGAAACTAAGGAAACATTATTGCACACTATTTCAGTATGCTTAAAGGTGTCAATTTTCCCTTAGCAACATGCTTTTCCTACTGAAATTGGATGAAAAAATGATTTCACCCCAAATAAGTGCAGAAATTGTAAAAATCTAGGGATAATGCAATATAGGCAGGAAAATCTGAAAATAAAAAAAGTGCAGAGGAGCAATCAGAAAATTGATTTTGAAATATATAAATATAATGAATGATATTCGGAAACTATATATGAGTCCCATGAAGTGGAAAGGAAAAGGTTGATTAAAAGCCATTGTCTTTTTTTTTTTAATTGACTTTGATATTTCTGACATGGATTATTTAACCATTTTCCGCCCGGCCCGTTGCCGTTTGGCGGCCGGCAAAATCCCTCAGCGTTCCGGGTGGACGCCACATGGCGTCCTCCCGGGCATGCGCAGTTTGCTTGCCTGCAGAGCCACGCGATCTGTCACCGGCTGTGTACCTCGGACACGGCCAGTGACAGATCTGAGTACCGGCCCCGTTGCCAGTACCATGTGACCTGCTGTGACCAATCACAGCAGGTCACATGACAGTTGTATACAATAGATGGCTTCATTCATGCCATCCATTGTATACTACTGTGCCTAGCTGTGAATGGTCACAGTGATCACATGCACAAGCTGGGCCACTCACAGCCCATCTGTGTCATGTGATTAGCCATGGCCAAATCACAGCTAAGCACAAAAAAAACAAAAACAAAACCCCTGAATAGATAGATGTCATTCAGGTAAATGCTTGCTTATAGCAAAGTAATTCTTTGCTATAAGCAAATTGTGTAAAAAAAAAAATACTGATCACTTCCCCAAAGTAGTACAATGTTACTATGGTAACATTTTACTACTTTGGTCATAGTGAAATATGAAAAAAAAAAATCTTAAAAAAAGAATGTAATAAAAAATTAAAAATAATAATAAAAAAAAAATTACATATTTTTTTTTCATACTGTCAGTGTCCCTGATCACCGCCATGCCAGTTATATGGTGATGCACTGGTGACAGTATGTAAAAAAAATAGTGAAAATAATTTTTAAAATTTTTTAATTTTCCGAAATATTATGACAAAAAAATACAACTTCAAAAAACTCGACATGCCTCTTATGAAGTACGTCGAACTGTCTACTTTGCAAAAAGGGGTTATTTGGGGGATATCTGTACTGTTCCAACATTCTTGGACCTCAAGAAATTATATTGGGTGTCAGTACTTCAGGATTGATCAATTTTCAGATCTATACCATAGTTTGTGAACTCTATAACTTTCCTACAAACTAAAAAATACATCCTAATTTGGGTTATTTTCACCAAAGACATGTAGCAGAATTCATCTCAGCCTAAATTTATGAAGAACAATTATTTATTTGCAAACTTTTATAACAGAAAGAAAAACATGTTTTTTTTTTTCAACATTTTTGGTCTTTGTTTGTTAATTTAGCAAAAAAATAAAAATCCCAGCGGTGATTAAAATACCACCAAAAGAAAGCTCTAGTTGTGTGAAGAAAATGATAAAATTTTAGTTTGGGTACAATGTTGTATGACCGCGCAATTGTCATTCAAAGTGTGAGAGCGCTGAAACATGAAAAATGGCCTGGGCAGGAAGGGGGTAAAAGTACTCGGTATGGAATTGGTTAAAGCCAAAAGGGAAGTTCTGCTTTAAGCCAGCTCCTCTTGGAAATGTGGCATTTTTTGGGGAGGGGGGGGCAGGTATCTGGTTTTGAAAGGTACCCACTCCCATCTCCGCTTGGATCACCTAGGCGATCTGACCAGAAGTTCTCCTTCCCCCCGCCTCCCCAGAGTTCTCTTGGATACGTTACAGGTCCCAGAAGACTGCAGGAGCATTCACAATGTGAAGCGTGGCTCGCACATGCACAGTGGGGGCACCTGGCTGTGAAGCCACAAGTTGTCTTAGCCGGTTGCCCACAGTTAAGATGCCAGCAGCAAGGACTGAAAACCTTGAGGAGCACATCGCTAGATCCTGGTACAGGTAATTGTCTGATTGTTAAAAGTTATCAGCTATGGTTTTTGTAGTTTGTGACTTTTCATTTTCAGGAGAACGTCTCTTTAACCATTTGCCGCCCGCCCTATGGCCAAATGGCGGCTGGCAAATGTCATCAGCGTTCTGGGTGGATGCCATATGGCGTCCTCCCGCACATGCGCAGATTGCGCTCCTGTAGAGCCCCGCAGCGGCGCGATCTGTCATCGGCCATGTACCTCAGACATGGCTGATGACAGATCTGAGTACCGGCCCCCGTTGCCAGTACCATGTGACCTGCTGTGACCAATCACAGCAGGTCACATGACAGTTGTATACAATGGATGGCTTCATTCATGCCATCCATTGTATACTAGTGTCTAGCTGTGAATGGTCACAGCTAATCACATGCACATGTCATGTGATTAGCTGAGGCCAAATCACAGCTAAGCACACCAAAAAAAAAAAAAAAAAAAAACCCTGAATGAATCGATGTCATTCGGGTAAATGCTTGCTTATAGCAAAGTAATTCTTTGCTATAAGCAAATTGTGTAAAAAAAAGAAAAAAAAAAAAATACTGATCACTTCCCCAAAGTAGTACAATGTTACTATGGTAACATTGTACTACTTTGGTCATAGTGAAATATGAAAAAAAAAATCTTAAAAAAAAGAAAAAAAATGTAATAAAAAAAAAAAAAATACAAAAAAAAAAAAAAAAAATATATATATATATTATATATATATATATATATATATTTTTTTTTTTTTTTTTTCATACTGTCACCAGTCAGTGTCCTTGATCACCGCCATGCCAGTTATATGATGACGCTGTACTGCACTGGTGACAATATGTAAAAAAAAAAATAGTGAAACTAATTTTTTTTAAATTTTTTCATTTTATGAAAAATTATGACAAAAAAAAAAAAACTTCAAAAAAAAACTCGCCATGCCTCTTATGAAGTACGTCGGACTGTCTACTTTGCAAAAAGGGTCATTTGGGGGATATCTGTACTGTTCTGACATTCTTGGACCTCAAGAAATTAGATTGGGTGTCAGTACTTCAGGATTGATCAATATTCAGATCTATACCATAGTTTGTGAACTCTATAACTTTCCTACAAACTAAAAAATACATCCTAATATGGGTTATTTTCACCAAAGACATGTAGCAGAATACATCTCGGCCTAAATTTATGAAGAACAATTATTTATTTGCAAACTTTTATAACAGAAACAAAGAAAAACGTGTGTTTTTATCAAAATTTTCGGTCTTTTTTTGGTAATTTAGCAAAAAATAAAAACCCCAGCAGTGATTAAATACCACCAAAAGAAAGCTCTAGTTGTGTGAAGAAAATGACAAAATTTTAGTTTGGGTACAATGTTGTATGACCGCGCAATTATCATTCAAAGTGGGAGAGCGCTGAAACCTGAAAAATGGCCTGGGCAGGAAGGGGGTAAAAGTGCCCGGTATTGAATTGGTTAAGCACCACCAATTAGTATTTTCTTTAAAGCTTATGTAAGGCACATGTACCGTAATGTTTATAACCTTTGCATTTTTTGCCATCGGTGTCTATTTGGGTAGATTTACCTTCAAATCTGGTCCTGTAAGTACACCACAGAAATTAATCCAAAGTAGGAGAACTAGCCTTAGACGGTTGTCATTGGAACAAGAGTCCCCGTTGGAAGTTTCTCCTTCTTTTCCTGTTCCGGCAACAACTTAAAAGATCTTCACTTATTTCCAGTCCCGGAGACAATGTGTGACAGGACAAATAGAGAGGGGGTGAATCTCCCTAACTGGGACACAGGCACAGGCGGGGGTTCTACCCCTCGCTACTCTAAAATACTACATTACTGAAGATGGCAGACATATCAATATTTCTATTATTCCCCAAAAAAGCTGTAGCAAATTATGCATCAGTGATACATTAGCACATTTGTTGTAAAAAAAACCCATACAATACAAAAAAAAAAACCTTCTTTGCCACTAAACACATTTGCTACTATGCAACGCCACTTTCACAGACATAGTGTGATGTACGAAGTAATAATTTAAAAAAATCTATACCATGACATGTGTTCTAAATATTTTTCTCACACAGAACTGTGTGCGGTTTCCATAGAAACCTCAGACTATGCTGGGCTCTGGGGTGTCGTCCATTTTGACCTTCTAGACAGATACATCATGTGCTAATGTCTGCCGCAGGAAGAGCTGGCTTCTTGCAAAATAGCCAATGTGATATTGACTAAATGAATTCTAAAAATATGTATAAAAACCAGGTGTTGAATTGTTTTCCCATTGCCAGATGATTTTACAACAAAATACCAAAAACTGCATTATTCTTAAGACTTTTTTTCTTTCCCATTAAGAGTTTGATATTAATATAGGGTGATCAGAAGTCCCTGGGTTCCAGGTACAGCCCGATTTCAGGAAGTTGTTTATGGTCAAAAAGTGTTCCCTATTGTGTCCCTGGTTACAATGTAAAGTTCCCCGGCTGTGGGTGGCAGCATATTTTTTTCTTGTCCTTAAAATACACCTTGGCTGGCAGTATTTGTGATGCAGCCACTCTAACACTTCCCAGGACTTTAGTATTGTGTGTACGTCCCAACACAAGGAGGAGGGATAGGACTTTGTATCTGCAATACCTCCCATCCAGCTCCATCTGTCATGCACCCTGCAAAGCAGCTCCTCCAGGCTCCTCTTTATTCTGCCGTCCTCCCTCATTTTGACCTTCTGGGTAGCCAGGGAGAGATATTGCTTCCTAATACAAATGTGGCAAGTGTAGCACATTGTGCGTCCCTTGCATGTTCCTCCTGGAGGATCCCTACCACATGGCCCCTGTCCTCTCCTCTGACATGCTGGCCAGTATGAGTCCAGGGCATCCAGACATTGTTAATATAAATATAATACAATGTTTAATACAGGATGGGGGGGCAGTTGAGAATCCAGTTTTGGTTTAAAATGCCATCTTTGTCACTCAAATACAACTGTATGTGATTTTTCTTGTTACATGCTGATGTTACATTGACCCAGGGGTTTGCACAGACAAAACTGCCCTGGGCCCAGTGAAAGGATGGCACAGTATGTTAGCAAAGTAAGCAACCCCCAATGTCAATGTGAGTCTCCACATTTCCGGTTTGTGACAGGGACACTCTCCCTCTAATTTCCAGCTCATTTCAAGCTTCTGCTGTTTAAAGTGAACCATCTCTAAGAAAGAATGTTCGCTTTACCCATGTCCTTACCCATGTCCTCCCACCCCCAAATATAAATGGCTTTAAAAAAGCAATAGAAAAATAGACTTTAGACGAAAAAAAAAAGCGCTTCAGCTTTGTTTCTAACATTTTGGTGACATCATCTCAAAGAGAGCAGAGTGCTCAAAGTCCCGCAGGATTGCGCCCTGTGGCCACCTCCACATCCTGGGGGCTGTGAGTAAAGTGGACCTTCCAATAAAATGCAAGGTCTGCTTATTTAATCAGGGCCCCAAAACGCAACATGTAAAAAATTGGAAATAAACTACCCTTTCTGTTGACATCCGCACTGCAGAATGTTCCTATCCTTCTGCCATAATCCTGGGAAACACATCCCAAATCTTGTGAGAAAATGCTCCATTACAGTGCAGGGGTATCTTCTTATAAGATTTGGGATCTTCATTGTACTTAGGACCTCATCAGAAGGATTGTGATGTCACCTATGTCTAGGCTCCGCAAGAAGAAGCTGGGTAAAGGAAGTATTTTCACAGGTTGTTTTTAATTTTATTATTTTTTTATTTATTGGAATATAATGTGATTTGGTAATGGTAATGTGCCCTATTGATTTGTTTAATATGCCAATTTTTGTTATATGTCCTTCCAATACCACACATCACAAGATATTGTCTCCTTATTGTTTCAAACAAACACAGAGCACATGACTACTGCTGCAGTTGCAGACCTGTCCGTGTGCCGAGCTTCCTTCTGCTAATCCGTCTCGTTGTGTGTTTGGTCTATTGTTTGCTTAAACACATACGTGTTGAGTTGGCTGCGCTGCCATCTGTGCCTATATCCATAACAGCTTGCTTTGCATACAACAGAAATAAACACTGAGAAGCAGAAGCCCTGCGAGCCCTACCAATGAGAATGTTCCTCCAGTGTTTTCACTGGTTCATTAACATTCCTGGTATCCCAGAACTTCACTTTGCAATCATCCCCACAACTGGCCAAGTAGTACTGTTTGTTGGGATTGAAGTCAAGGTCTCGAACCAGCTGTCCATGGGCATTGTCGATGCAGTAGATCTGCCTGAAAAAAAATAAACAAATCGCTTTATGGAAGCTGTGCCATGGCTAACAATACTCAGAGACATATCTGAAAGAGCCGGTACTGAAAACATGCCAGAGTGAAACATTCCATGTGTTTTTTGCTCTTCATTTCATTCATTGCTACATTTTAATTATGAATATTTTCTATAGAAATGCTAACATGGGCTTTAGTTTTCATGGCAAATAAAAATGGTATAGATAGAATCAGATTTTCAGCAAAAACCATAGCAAGAGCCCTTCTCTTTCTGTACAAGAAAATACTTATTGGAAGGAGCAAGTGGAAAAAAAAAACAATAAAATGGTAACACACAAAAATGCGAGTAATGTGGTATTGCATTTTCAGACTCCCTTCACACCAATGCGTTTTTTAGTGCTTTTTGCAGAAACGCACTACAGTCCATTTAACATGGTTTCCTATGGAACATGTTCACATCTATGATTTTTTGAGTTGCTGCATTTTTGGAAAGGGTCAGGAACTTTTTTAAAAACAAAAAGCAGCGGTTTTGCTACAACAGAGTTCAATGGAGAAACTGCTAAAATGCATTGTAGTGCGTTTTTGCCCCTTTTTGTGTTTTTCATTTTTATTCTGCCCAGCAACAAAAAAATTAGCTGAACAAAACGCGGTAAAAATGTGTCAAAAATGCATGTAGAAAAACGCAAAATGAACTGCGAAAAGCACTGCAAAACGGACAAAAAGCAAACTGCATAGGTGTGAGCAGAACCTTAACAATGATCTAACCTAACAATTAAAAGCAAAAAGGTATTATATGCACATAAAAATGCACAACACATTAAGAATGAAAGCAAATGTGAAAATTGGTACATAGATGTAAACGGAACTTAAAGTGGAACTTCACTCTCTTAATCAACATGAACATTTGCAATCCTTATGCTGCTATCAATGGTAAATAGATAGAAAAGTATATCATATTTATTTGTTTTAAACTTTTTGTTTACATTACTTAAGTTATTTCCTGATTTCCATGCCTAGGCAAATGATGTCATACATCCCAGGAATCTTCAGGAGGGGAAAGAGGGCTCTCAGCTCAGCCTATGCCTGAACTTAGAGCAGATGGATTCCAGGAAGTAAATGATACATGAATAATCTGCCCTTACTCAAGATGGCCACTGTTAGAAATGTTTGGGGGTGTTTTGCAAAGTGATTTTACTGGGAAATAAAGCATGGAGACATGGATGCAAGGGTGAGTTTACTTTGAATATTAAAAATGAATTAAATAGCATTTTGTTGTTTGTGGTGCTCAGATGCAGTGTAGTTCCACATTAAATCATACCCTCTCGTGATTCTAAGCATTTTTAATGTATGTTAGGACCTTATTAGCCAACATGGTGGTACAGTGGTATCTGCATAGATTTTGTATGCAACTTTTCAGCTTGCATTGGTTTTCTGTAATCTCCACCCACATCCCAGAAAAAAATGGGCAGGTAAATTAGACTGAACTCGTGTGGCCATAACTGCATGACTGTGGCAGGGGGCACTAGATTTTAAACTCTACAGAAGTGGGACAGATATAATTGCTTTTGTGTACTCTGTAAAGAAAGCAGTGATATGTCAGCACTACATACCAGCAGAAAATAAACTTAGGGCAGAATGAAGCTTTGCATACACTGGACAGAGCAGCCCCTGAAGTTAGCAGGGTAAAGGATGGTTTGCTATTGGTTTTGCAGACCAACACTGACCCAATAAGGACTGATTTGACAAGGAGTTCAATTGTTTTATCACGTTTTAAAAATGTGATACATAATCAAAGCATATTTGACTGTGAAATAAGTATCGGAGGTTAACATTGTAATGATTATGCGCAATAGAGACATGGAAGCTGTATGCGACAGCCATCTTGTTAAGGTCTCAGCCATTATGTTTTTCATGAACAATCATCTTTCTCCCCTCCTCCCTCCTCTTGAAAATGGAATTTGTGGCTGTAAGTTGTAATGAACTTCAAAAGAGCCTCTTATCTTAAATAAAACACAAATAGAGGCCAGCTCCAGAGCTGTAAACTGCTAATTAGTCTTGGCAGGATGTCTATTTTGCAAAGACACTTTCCTCTGCCCTATCGTAAAACAATAACTCAGTCCAGCCTTTACAAATGACCTGTTAGGCCATTAGAAATCTATGAATGCACAGCGTGGCATAAAACATCTATTCCACATGTAACAATTCCCCACACAATTCAACAGGAACTGGGCACATTAATATTAGCTATATATTTGAATAGGGCATTTCATGCCAAACAAATTGAGGTCCTACATGACTATTTTAGCACATAGGACAGGGGAGAAAGAAGTCTCTTCCCTCCTGGGTGACAAAGGTACGCTGTGTTTGGTATCCCTTGGTTTGAAATATAATTCTGAATATGAATCTGCCAGTTGCTAGAATACCACCTGCATGGATTGGAAGTTATTAATATTAGTATGAAATTGTAGTTGGGACTTGGTCATAAACTTGGTGACATCCTATCACTCATCCCGTAAACTGGATAATTGGTCAGTTGTTCTCAGGCGACATATAGAAAAGGACTGACAGGCCTGGTGAGGGGAGCTCTCGTTTAACATCAATCAAGAAACATCTAACGGACTTGAGAGTCAAGGCAATGTTTTTGCTCGGACAATTGGACTAAATTGCTAAACCAGGACTTTACAAGTATTCAACCTTCTTAACTCCTTTCTTTTATTTCTCTATTGCTTTATTGTTCTCTTTATGTCTTTGTAACATCTTTTCTGTAAATATTTTAATTGCACCATTTTGACCTTTTTTAGTAATAAACCCTATTATGAAAAGTGTTGAAACTGTCTCTAAAGCTTTTAATGCAAACTAAAGAATCCCTGTCTCTTAAAGAGTGCTACTGTGTACAATAATCCTTTGAATATTCCTGTCTGTGGTGACAGTGTGTGTTGCAGAAGCTTATACTAAAATCATAGTGTTATTGCTGGGATTTGTGAGTTTCCTCCTTCTCTGTAAAAAGGTGTTGGTGGCAGTGTGAAGGGCTAATTGCGTAATTAGCCTAACCCAGTGACAAACGCTCTCAGGCTGCTGGCACATAGATTGTGGTCCCGCGAGCTGGAAAATCTTTGTGCAGGGTGCAGCTGAGAGTGGCATTGTTACACAAGTGACAGCTCGGTGTGAGATTGGCTGGTCTTTTGTCACGAGTTGGTGAGAAGGGCAGGGTCGGGAGCCGCGTTCCGTCACAAACATGGCTACTGCTATATCTCAGATTGATAACTAGCTGGGATTTTCAAAAACAACAGCCATTAGAGTTTGTAGCAATCATGCACACAGAGATGGACACGGTCATCCATCTTGTTAAGAATCTTCCATGCTGTATCATCTCTACTCCCAAATCAGCTCTCCTCATCGCCCCTCCCTCTCTGTTGAGTGACATGTGGTCTGTTTGATGCAGATGACAGGCAGCAAACTCCATGGGAGGGCGTCATGGCTATAAATCCCACAACTGAGCTGGGGCCTAGATGTCAGTTAACTTCCGCAATCTGGGTTCGTAAAGCCATAAACCAAGTCCTTCACTGAGTTCAAAAGACATTCCAAAGGGTTGTAAAAACAGACTTACATTTAGAAACTCAATCACTCATATAAGTTCATATCTTCAAACAGGACCATAATAACCTAAACATGGAGCCCATTTTCGGATAGCTCAAGTTAAGACCATTCTCCTGGTATATTACACCCCCTAGCTGGCATATACAGGAGAGTCGAAAATTACTTTTCCTTAACCATTCAAGCGGATATTTCATATCTAACCGTTCAGCCGAAGATTCTGTGTAATAATCTACTTGTGGATAGGATGTTGTATATATCCAGGGTAAGTTATGAACCATAATATAATTTGTGCAGGCTTTGGTCATAGCCTGAGGTCTCCACCTACAACTCCCTCCCCAAATGAGGCGATTGGTTTACTGCTTCAGGGAGACACCCTGTGGAGTTGCTAGAAAAAGCTAAGCTAGGCTGAGTTGAGGGTGTGAGAGTTAAAGATTCTCCCTTTAACATCGGAACCAACTTTGGGAGATAAGGCATCCTTTTGGCTCATAAAACCTGATCTGCTTAACCCAGGACATTTGGCAAGTACTTTAACCCTCAGCTCCTTTCTGTTATCTCTTTGCTTTGCTATTGCTTTCTGTATATTTATATATATTGGCTACATCTTTTTCTGTGAATATTTTTATTGCACCCTTTTGACCTTTTAGTAATAAATCTTATTTTCTGAAAGTGTTGAACTGTTTCTAAAGCTCTTTAATGCAACTAAAAAACCCCTGCCTCTGAAGAGCGCTACTGTGTGTGTGTGTTTTAAACTTCGGCATATCGCTGCCTGCGGCGACCGTGGTATACAGATGATTATTCAAGCATCATAGTGTTATTGCTGATATTGCAGAGTTTCTTCTTGATCTGTACAAAAAGGAGGTGGTGGCAGTGTGAAAGGTTAATTGCGTAATTAACCTGATCCAGTAACAATCGCTCTCAGGCTGCAAGTACGCAGACTGTGGTCCAGTAGCTGAAAAATCTGGGTGCAGCTGGGCGTGGCATTGTTACGCACGTGACAGCGTGGTTTTAGATTGGCTAGTCCTTCGGTCACAAGTTTGGTGAGAAGGGCTGGGGTCTGATGCCGTGATCGTCACAGAGTTTACAATGAATGGTGCAAAAGACAAAAACTATCAGTAATTGGCAGCATTGTGGGCAAAAGCATCTTGTCAATGATCAGATTTTTTTCCAGGTTAATCCAAAGTTCACATAACCACCCTTTACTACAGTGGTGTGCAGAAAGGCATCTGTGAATGCACAACACATAGAGCCTTGAAAGGAATACACTAGAGCAGCAGAATATAATGTTGAGGTCTGTTCCTAGAAACCAACAACAGGAAAATTAGGCTGGGATGAGCACAGGATCAACATAACTCAACAAATAAAGAATGGAAAACTATAATTGTCTGCAAATCTCCATTTTTGCTTCAGCA